GCACAGCATCAACGTTTTCTCGGGTGACTGCAGTTTTTGGACGACCTTGACGGGGATCATCACTGAGCTTGACACGTCCACGTTGAAATTCAGCAAACCAGCGATAAATTGTGGTTTTGGATGGGGCTTCATTACCAAATGCAGAAATCATCCGGTCAACACACTGTTTTTGTGTTAAACCACTCCGAAAGTCATAATAAATCATCGCTCTTCAATTTTCTCGAGTCAATTCCATTTTCTCAACGACTAAACAAGTTTCACAAGACCTTGTGATAAGACCGAGAATCTTTTTTTTAATAAATAAATGGTATTCGATGTTTAAAACCAAGGAGTTTGCAATTAAATATAATTTAATATGATAGGAACTGTGGAAATATTAAATTCCCGATACTTTTAGTGCAGCCCTCGTATAACGTCTGCATAAGAAGCCTCAGCATTTAGCTTGACTTGCGGTTCTCTGTACTATGGCAATGCACGCGTTGAATAGGTACTCTAGATTTAATGAAGGCTTGCGATTAAGCTTTTTGCCGGCTGATATTATAGGATTTTTAAAATAACTAGGACATTACGCGGTATGTTGTTAAGACACGGCTAGAAGGCTGGAACGATCCGGTGGAGTTTAAGCTGTTTTATTTTGAGCTCTTGCTACTTGGTAATTTAATTCCTGAGTTGACATGTACCTTGAGATCTTATTTAATTTAAAGGACAGAAAATATACGGCTTAAGACAGTAATAGTAAATAACGCGATTAAGGAAAATAATACAGGTAGACTTCATTTTGATCAGCTTTGAAATAGGGATGGTTTTAAGGAGTTAATTGAATGGATTTCGATAAAAACCTTAGAATTAGCTTTGCCAAAATGCTCTATGCCAAATTTCATCAAAATCGGTTCAGTGGTTTAGGCGTGAAAGCAAGACAGACAGACAGAGTTACTTTCGCATTAATTTATAATATTAGTATAGAAGTATAGATTTATAACACAGACATGCGCTGGCGCATTTAAAAAACTTCGGTGGTCAATTCTCAACCTCGCTAATTAATTTGGAGCCGAGGTTACGGTGTAACTCTAATTATCCTGCTTTCGCCTCCGAGATTTATTTTACCATGTAGTACCCCTGTACGACAACCCAATCCGCACACAATATTCAGCGTAGTAGTATTAAAAAACAAAAGAGCGGGCAACCCCACCCCTACCACGCTGTGGGCTCGGTGTCCGAGCGGTCTCATTCCTTTGTGCGCACGCGCAACGACCGCACGCAGTATAAGAAAAATGCTTAAGTGACGTCACCAGGACGTTTTTACCGACAAAAAACGTAATTATTTTAAGTTGTGCAGTGTAGTGACGAGAATTAGACCCAACAAAAGGTTGGTTGTAACAACTATTTTGTGCAAGTGCTCGTACATTTTTATTATAAGCGTTGTGACACGACGCGTAACTTTGACCCATTTTTAGCTCCAAGTTAACGCGCGATGTTAACCAGTAGCCATTTTTTTATGATCAAACGAACTTACCAAGTGAAGTTCGATCTAAATTATCCTGTTTTCGCCGAAGAGATTTAAGGTCCCTCCCAACCCGAAGATTTCTATATCTTCTTCCCTGGAGGTAAACGTCAATGTCATCTCTTCTCTAAATATAATGAGACCGCTCGGACACCGAGCCCACAGCGTGGTAGGGGTGGGGTTGCCCGCTCTTTTGTTTTTTAATACTACTACGCTGAATATTGTGTGCGGATTGGGTTGTCGTACAGGGGTACTACATGGTAAAATAAATCTCTTCGGCGAAAACAGGATAATTTAGATCGAACTTCACTTGGTAAGTTCGTTTGATCATTCAATAATAGCTCGATTTCATTCAACCTCACACTCGATCCTTTGTTTGGGGTCGTCAAATAGCCAAAAAAGCGTTAAACACAGCGCGCCATAGTTCACGCCATGGCCCGTAGGTGTCAAAAGCTTTACCTGCTGCGCCTACGCTAAGCCAATGGTCACTGTTTGTTTGGGAATTATCCTTTCACACTTCGGCCTGAGCCGCTACTCAAATTATTGCCTAAACATTCCCCCACGTTGGAACTGTCTTAATTTAAAAGAGAGGTTGATACATGAGATTGAGAATCTCTATTCAGTAAACCGTAAGATCTCTATCTTACTGTTTTATCGAGATGTCTCCACATCTAGGCCTATGTTCAGCAGTGGATATCCTGTGGCTGAAATGATGATGATGATGATCTCTACATTATTAGCACATTAGAGATTAAACTACGGTTTTTCGCAAAATTGCATTTCTATCCGTTCCATGTAAGAGCCGAAATTAAAATAGGATGTAGCCTTTAGTTAGAATAACCACTGACATTTTCACTCGAATTACACAGTATTTAGCTTTTTCAAGCAAGAAAATATTCCAGTGAAAATTAATTTGTGTATATTCAATGAAACACACATGCACCAGCAAAAAAGCTGTAAATATGTCCCGTTTGAGAGGACAATGAGGTAAAAAACTGAAATCCAAAATCAGAATAAAAAGTCGTTGACAAGTAAAAAAGATTGACAAAAACCCAACACTCTCCACGAGCGGGCATTTCAACAAGAATGTTGGGACAATAATTTTCGATTCGCTTACGACTCGAATTAATGTTGTAACCCCAGTTTGAGTCCATAAAAATTCACGACAAAACCTGTATAAACGGCTGGAGGCGAGTTGCTTGTTTTGCCTCACGTTCCCCGAAACTGAGGAAATGCGCGGGCAAAAAGTCACGGAACAGGATTCGTGAGCCTTCGCCAAATCTGGGCGCGTTAAGAAACTATAAGGAGGACACCGCTCGTAAGAAGCGGCGAATACGACGACACCGAATAGCAATGGATACCACATTAACGCCTTAAACGTTGAATTATTTGGAAAAAACGACTATGTGATAGTTGAATGTCATTATTTCAGCCACAGGACGTCCACTGCTGAACATAGGCTTCTCCCAATGATTTTCATATGAACTGGTTGGTAGCGGCCTGCCTGCTACCTTTATGAGATAGTTGAACAATTCAAAAAGCTGTAAGGAGGACAACAGTACATCACTCGTAAGAAACGGCGAATATGACGACACCGAATAGTAATGGATATAAACGCCTTAAACGTTGAATTATTTGGAAAAAAATGATTATGTGACAAACTATAGTGGGTGACATAATTTACTCGAGCCTAAGGTATTGCGAAGTGAGGTTTATTTGATTCAAACACAAGTAAATATACATTTTAGTTTCAGCTTGATCCCACTACATACCTACTTGTCTTGGAAATCGTTCCTCGCGAATCATTAACAATTGATTTGTCCCTTGTGAGTTATCATTTTTCAACGTGCAACAACATTTGTGCTGTGTGCAACAATATCAAGCAAGTTGTCATCAATCACAGTAAACCCCATAAAACTGAAAAACTACTTGGAGAATCCCAAATTAGTGAGTCACCAACGCCAAATCGCATCCGTTACGAAGAAATGAGCTGTCACTGTAGATGCATCCGTACTTTAAACTGATCCCATATCACATGCTAATCATCAAGCGATTGATACCAGGTACTCCCCATAAATAATAGTGCATTATAGCTAGAATGGTTCGCGAAACGTCTTTGTTGCAATAAACACTACGTTTTATTTGGTCGCTTTGCATACGACACGGTACGAATGTAATGTGGATCACGTCATAGTTGTAGAATCCGATAAATGTCCATCATTCTAGTAGATGTATATTTAGTACTTGAACTTCTGAAGTAGATCTCTGAGGAACAAATTATTCACATTTTTGAACGTCTACAACTTGGAATTTTGAGTTGAAACTACATTTAGATGTTTGACTTATGGTAAAATGTCTAAAGGAACTAAATAGAGTTAGGCTCTATGTTGCATTCCTGCAATGCAAAATTGAGTTGAATTTACTATATCAGATGGTTCATTTATGGTTTACTTAGCTGCCAGTAAATGAGAACAGCTTCTATTCTATTTGAAATGATGATTAAACCTCAACATTATCACAGGACAGGATCTACGCGTATGCTCGAGTCTACATCGTTTTAGAATACGATCCTTAATTGCTGATCCTATCTTCCGATCTTCCAATCTAAGCTCGAACCCATATCACAAATCGATTTTACTTTTCCCATGCGACATCGCGAAAATTAATCGATTATTCGATACTAATTTGGATGCTCGATGAGCGCTGCATCGTGCGTGGTTATGCGTGCGTGAGTCACGACTCACGGAGCACATGTGCGGTGGAAATAGCCCCAAGTTGAACAAATGTTGTGATGCGATACGTTGGTCCTAGTCCGGCCAGAGAATGCGACCGGCTGGCGGCCAGTGATGGGACGTGTCGATGGGGAATCTTTTGCAGGGTTTTTTATATATTTTTTGGAACCGAGTCTGATTTTGATATCAATCTCCAAAACTGGAAGAGAGAACTGAGATAGAGCACGCTGCTCAGCAAATAAAAGTTTTATAAAAATGGGAAAAGGAGAAAGGACCATGAAGGTAGAAGCAAATCGCATCGTGTAAAAGGTGGATTGAAAAAGTCTTTGGGTGGCTGAATAATCATAATTTAACAAAGTCCATTGGAAAAGCCTCATTCTGAACAAATATTATGAAGCATACATTGGCCTTAAGCCTATTGTTTTATTAATTCGCATGCATTTACATAACTGCGACATGAAGTCTTTTGCCAGAATTAGGACAACATTTCAAACATCTGTAACTAGGAGTACAAGTCAAACACCTGGGACGAAGATCCATAAAATCGGCACTAAAGGTCCAATCGCAACTAGAGAAATTCCGCAAACATGAATAGTTGCAATAAACCAAACACTGGCCGAACAGTTAACCCAGCAAAAACAATAGACGATAAAAAAACCGCTATAAAAATGTTCGGTCCCATCCCTAAGGGCGAGACCTGAGTGGCGCCGTCTGTTTTGCCCCGATGCGATGCGTAGGCCGAAGCCACAACGTCAGTGACACACGGACTGCCATGGAGGGAGTTTGTGTCCGCCCGTCTGCGTCGCACGCCACGCGATCGTAATGTAAAGTGCAACTGTGTCTTACAAGTGCCAATAGTGAAGTTTCAGGATTGTTTAGTACTTTTTTAATCTGGATTTTGGACTGAAGATGGCTGCGTTTATACCTGCCGGTGATACTACACAGCCTGAAGTTAAAGGTGAGCTTGAGATTTCAGGAAATAAGTTGGGGAAAAGTTTTGAGAGTAGAAAAAAAGTTTTCAGGAACTTTTTATTTTATCTTTTTTTCATTTTAAAAGACATGAATTTAATTGATAGTTTTAAGTAAATCATTAATCGCATTATTAAGTTTATAATGTAATATCAAAAGGTATTAATTTATTAAGTGCGAAAAGTTTATGCAAAGCTCGCTCTCGTTAAATGAAGGGATACTTGAGTCGCGAGCTGGCGCCCGGAGCTTTTAAGCTCATTGACTCTGCACTTACAACTTTTTTCCATCCACGGAGTTCATGAAACAACAAAGATACCTACCCATATTAATATATCATCATAGTATTTTTTATTTAAGAGGCTTTTCTGATTTTACTTTTAATCAATTACCTGCCTATTGAAATTGTTTTGATTTTCAGCAATATCTTTAAAAATATTATAACGTAAGACTTACTTTACAGTTTTGTTTTCAAATTAGCAATAATTTCAATTGCGTAAGGTGTCAATGTACCTACCTATTTAGTTAATTTGATGTATTATCGGTTATTGCCCATACTTTAATCCTTATGATTTGCAATTTTTTTTAATTCCAGCGTCTTTTTACCAAAACTTCGAAATTCGCTTCAGTCTTCGCTGTTACGAACTATGTGATCTTCCTTCTGACTCATGTTAGTTCGAATAAACGTTAATAAAGATTAACACCCGTTGATGTAAACAAACTCGATGTTTTGGTGTTTGCACAAAAGATACGTCAATCAAAATGTTATAGCATAAAGGTGTGACGTCATTACACCATTGAAATTGTTCGTGGGTATCAAATAATTGACTAATGAAGCAATTATAAAGATTGAATAATGAGTCTAAAACTACAAGATTCTTGTGGGTAGGTAGAGATAGCAAATATCCAAACATTTCATTAATCTGCCACTTAGAGGTGACTATCTACTTGCTACGAGATTTCGTAGCACGAAAAAAAATAAGTATTTCGAAAAGATGTTTAAAACTTTCATGCCTCATTAGCTTATTTAATAAACGTATGTCAAGTGAGCAGAAAAACTGCATGTAGAGTGAAAATTCACTTTCAGAAGTAACATTTACGGATTTACTAAAAATAGCCGAGTTATTACTTAATTTACTACGAAATACAATTAAAACACATTATCATATTGTACCGAAAATGTACCGGTAACAGGTGTACAGATAACGGATTACCGTGTAACGTTTTATAATCATTGTTCTTATCACGAAACCGAATCCTTATGGAACTGATATCTGAAACTATCAGAACGTCTATCGTGAGATTATCACACATCGTCATGACTACTCGTGAAATGAAATTATCACACAACGTCATGACTACTCGTGAAATGATACAAGGGATTTCACTTAATCAGTGCTAAGGTATAGAAGCGGCATCACGAGAGGGTGTATTTTTAACGTCAAACGTCAGCGATACTTCAGATCTCTTATAGATGACCCACGCTGACTGTCCCACCAAACTCAATGACAGGGGGGCGCTACCATCGTTCAATTATATGGTTTCCAACTTGGCAAAAATCGGAACCAGCGGTCCGGTATTGACGGTGGCGCCCCACTGTCAATGTCATGGATAGGACTGTTCAGTATTTTGGAACTATACAGATTTAATAGGCTCTGTCACGTCATAATATGTCAATGTCACCCTCCCGTGCTACTCCCATGCCTCAGGCACTTAGTTAAGAGCTAGACCTAAAGTCTGTTGTACCTTAATTATACCTAATATCAATTGAGCCACATCAGACGCATAATCATAACTGACACCAGATGTACACTAAAATAACAATTGAGACAAACAAGTCAGACGATTTCATAAAGTTAGACAACAGAACTTATTCTGAAGAAACGATTGAAACATGTTTCATGAAACGAAACTAATCCTAAAGAAATTCGAACAACTATCACTATAACAGTTAGCACGAGTATTCGTTCATGGGTTTTTGAATTCCTGAAAGGTATCATAAAAAGCGAATTCCCGTTGCTGTTGCAAATAATGAAAAATTTTAAATGCATGATATCTACATATAATATAAAAATGAATCGGAAAATGTGTTGGTAAGCGCATAACTCAACAACGCCTGGACCAATTTAACCAATCCTTTTTTTAAATGTTCGTTGAAGTCCAAGATGGTTTTTACGGCGAGAAAAGTTCGAATATTTTCCGGTAAAACCCTAAAAAAAACTAAATTAATAAAAAAGGTTTTTGTAAGACGTCCGACCATGAAAACGTCCAAGTTATAAAAGTTTGCTATTAAAATTGTCTAGAGTTGAGAGTCGCATCTCGAACTAAATTTAAATAACTTGAAAAGCTCTTTTCTGTTCCAACCTTTTTTCAAATTATTAGGAGCTTTCAAGTTTTTAGAAGAATAGGCAATTCGTTTTTTTTAAGTTACTTAAAACATTCAACCTGTATTTTTTAATGATAAATTGATATAATTTCTGTAAATCACAAGCTGTTTATGCAAATCTTACGAGACGCCGCGTGGGATGCGCCGGCGCAGCGCAACCGTTTCCCTTATAAGGACATGTTTATTCAAAATGCAACACCTGATTTAAACGTAGCGGTCATTTAAAAGAATACTCTCAAGACATCAATGTTGAAGAGATTTTGTACAAAAAAAGTTGTTGATATTTGGCTACTTTAGTCGGAAAAGTTAGCTTAAATTTTCTCATAATTATTATTTGCGATTTTTGTAATTACTATCTACAGCTGGCGATTGAACATTGTCACGATCATGAATATTAACTGAAATGTCAAAAGGCTTCATGAATATTTTAAACTTACAAGAGAATGACTCGTAAGGAAGTCTTAGATTTAATGAATTGCTGACTTGAATTGATAAAACATTAGCATGCATGGTGATGGTCAGGAAGAAATAATTATTAGTACGTTATCATTCTATTGTCTAATAAAATTGACACCTTGAATATTAATTTTGAACTGTAAGAACTATTTTATTTCTTCGAAAAAAATTGTTGAATGCTCTTTAGTTAATTTAAGTTTTTTTATTATTTCACTGTTCAAAAATTTCATTACATTGGCGAAATTTAATTATAACGAGCCAATTAATTACGCGGGAGAAAAACAAACATTTTCCCGCCTTCGCTGCGTCTGACATTCAACCGTTAACATAATCTGTGCACCCTTCAAAGGGTTCAGTAAAAAAACACACGCACATGTTCAAGGGTGCACCCCTCCGCGACAAGTGTACAAAATACAAACTTTACTACACCCGTATTAACTAAAATTTAACCGTATTATCTAGGGCATAAGAACTTTCGGGCGGCATTCACAATTTGTTTGTTTGTTCACATGTTGCGCGACGGGGGTCGATCGTTTCTAATAGGTTTCTGCCGTCCAATTTTTTTAGACCCATATTAAACCGTGTAAAGATTAACCCAAAAATCAATCATACGGAAACTGAGCTTTGGAACTGGAGTAATTTTGTCTTTTCTGGTGCACTTGATAACTGATAAACGAAACAAATTGTAGAGATAATTACAATTATTAATATTGATATACATTATAAGTAATCATTGGTAGGCTTTATTCTTATTGTGAGGTAAGTAATAGGTATTTAACATTTTCAGCCAATAGTTTTTCTACAATAACACTCATGTGGGGTTTTCCAGGCAGGCTCTCTGCTTAGAGTACATACCTACATAGCTCTTTAACAATGCATGTTAATAAGGTTTGTAACATAATCTCTAGAAATAAAACTCTCTTGGATAAAAAAAATGGCGGACGCTTTTGACAGGACGTGTAGGCTATGTGTTTTACAAAAAAAAAAAAACGAAAAATATGTTGCACACATTGTTGACTATTTCTAGCTTCTAGTAAAATAAAAAAAAAATCCACAATACTTGGACAATAGACGGGCCGGTTGTCGCCACATGTCAACGGTGACGTCACGACTGGGTACCAGATGTGGGCCCCAGATGTTGCGTTTGCGTCGAATGTTTGACATCTGTATCTTTAGTGATTGTAATAGCTACTGCTACCAATAAACAAATTATCTTTTATCGTGGAAACTTTGGGCCGGTAAAGATAAGCTTGCTGATGGTTTTACGGGTTTTTTTATCCTGATTTTTAAATGTTTGTTGAAATATTTCATCTAAATTTATGACTGTGCCTTTTTTAAATAGTACCATTTCAAACATGTGACGGTTGGTTGTAATTGTATAACCAATACATCTAAACGGTTAAACTTTCCTGTTTATCAAAATTAAATATGAATCATGAAAGTCACCTGTATTGTCTGTGTAAATATGTGTCAATATCATCATCATTTTAGCCGTAGGATGTCCACTGCTAAAAATAAGCCTCAATCAATAAAAATATGTGAACTATTATGTTAATATAAGTTTTTCCCATTGTCTCTTATTTGTCGATAGCGAACGGTTAAAGACTGGATTAGAAATCTAACTCGTTCGCCATAAATCTTGTTAAAGGTGAAAGATCAGAACGAGTATAATAAACATTCCACAGAGCATGAAACGATGTAAATCCTCCTCATTATACAGATTGGACACCCAAAACCGAATTCAGCAGGATCTTGTTTTTGGCGAATTCCTATAGCTGGGTTTTCCGCGGCGCGCGCGCAGCAAAAAGTCGTGCCGTGTCGTCATCGCGTGAAACAGCATTAGATTTGACGAGAATTACATTGCAATGTCTCTCACGTAGTACAGTCAGCGTCTAATAGTTTGTGACACCCAGTAGCCAAAAAATTCGCAACACGTCTTTGTTACAATTGGAATAAGGTTGTGTGAATTGAACTTTTTAGCCACTTTGTGTCACAAACTATTTGACGCTGACTGTACATTGTACATGCTTAGTGAATTTCGGTATTTCCACATTTTTTATGAAAGGTGCAGTTGTAATTGTGACCCCTGGTACTTCTGTAGGCCAAGGATGCGCGCAGACATTTTACCGATTTTGCGCGATAAGCCCATA